TTCCACCTTGGGGGAGAAAAGGGCTCAACTCGAGGTCTGGTCTTCTCACATGCCTCTTACAGAAGAAACAAATTCAAAATAACAAAATTAATAATAAAAAAACAAAATTCAACTAAATGATGGTGAGAAAGTATTTTTTTATACAGAGGGATGTTTTGTTTTATAAGAAAAGCTCTCCCAGGGGCCAGCCCGGTGGCATAGTGGTTAAGTTCAGGCGCTTCGCTTCAGCGGCCCTGGGTTTGCAGGTTTAGATCCCAGGTGTGGACCTACACACCGCTTATCAAGCCATGCTGTGGTGGCGTCCCACATACAAGATAGAGGAAGATGGGCACGGATGTTACCTCAGGGTCAATCTTCCTCACCAAAAAAAAAAAAAAAGAAAAGTAAAAATAAACATAAATTTAAAAAGAAAAGATTTCCCAGTTCTGTTACAATTCTGACACCATATCAACCTTTAAAGACCACCGTTTCCTTAGAATGTTTCTCTTTTGCCATTTAAGTAATTTAACGCAAAGACAACATTTTTTCGGGATGTTTTTTAAAATACCTTTTCCTCTCGTAAATTAGAGAATATGCTTAGCTGCTTTCCTTCCAATCCACACCCTTTACTGTGCACACAGTGCATTCGATCAGGCACCTCGGGGAAGAAGGAGATAAAAGGATGCTACAATCTGCTGTGGAGAGAAGATACGAAGCAACAGTCAGTGAACGTAAGGTGAACAGTGCCTCAGAGTTGAGACAATGTAGAAACAAAAAGACAGGGTTAACTCAAGGCCACCTCAGCTGGGTTTTGGAAGTGGTCATGGTCATGCATGGAGGCAAGGACAATGTTCAACAACTGCCATTTATTAGAAGTTCACACTACCTGCCAGACCCCATCCAGGCTCTATACATTTATTTATTTTTTTATTTTTTTTGCTGAGGAAGATTCACCTTCAGCTAACATCTATTGCCAATCTTCCTCTTTTTTGGCTTGAGGAAGACTAGCTCTGAGCTAACCTCTGTGCCCATCTTCCTCTATTTTGCATGTGGGACGCCACCACAGCATGGCTGACGAGCACTGTAGGTCCGTGCCCAGGATCCGAACCCACAAACCCAGACCGCTGAAGCAGCGCACGCGGAACTCAACCCCTGTGCGGTGGGGCCGGCCCCCTCTCTCTGTTTATGGCCTCCAGTCTGAGTCATGAAGCAGGGAGGCCCAGATCTGCTCTTTGAAGTAAGCTCTTCCCACTCCAACAGGATGAACATAAAGTCACAGAAGAGTCAGGAGGTAAATGAACTCTGTTTCCCCTAAAAGGGTGAGAAGACAATGGTGAAAAGAAAGCACGCATTTCCGAGAGAGCTCTAAAGTCTAAAATGATCAGACAGAACATTTGAGCTAATATCCAACAGGCAGAATTATTGAAGGTTTTTCCCAATATTTAGATCAGGGAAGCAGCATGAAGATAACTGTAAAATAATCTAGAAATGAACCAAAACTGGGGGAGACCGAAGGCAGTGAATTTAGGCAGATGTACCGTGATCTTGAAGAAAGGCCGGATACATGGTGTGGCCTGGGAAGGTGTGAACCAAATGTGCTAAAATTTAACCGAGAGGGCCAGCCCGGTGGCTTAGTGGTTAAGTGCGTGCGCTCTGCTGCTGGCGGCCTGGGTTCGGATCCCGGGCGCGCATCAACGCACCGCTTCTCCGGCCATGCTGAGGCCGCGTCCCACATGCAGCAACTAGAAGGATGTGCAACTATGACATACAACTATCTACTGGGGCTTTGGGGGAAAAAATAAATAAATAAAAATCTTTAAAAAAAAAAAAAAAATTTAACCGAGAAATAAATGAAATCCATCTAACATGACAGTAACGTAAAAAACAGAAAAGGTTGAAATTTTGGAATTTGGAACATGAGCTATTTTGCTAAGTTGACTTAAGTTGTTGGGAAAACATGTAAATAGTTGTATTCTGAAGGCAGATGGGGGCCAACACGCAGGAGAGGGAGAGGGGAGCACTCTAAAGGCGTAGTAAGCAGTCCAGGGTGGGTCAGGATCTCCCCTCTCCTCCAGACAGTTAGGGTTCCCCTGTCCAGAGGACTATCACTCTAAGACGAGAGTGTCCCTGTGTCCCTGCAACTTCCAGAGAGGGGGACAGCTCTAAGCTGTGGAAGGCCACACTGCCCGCTGCACGGGGGTGGCGCAATGCACACGTGGTCCGCGGAACGCGGGGCTTGGAGAGGGGACAGCGGGGCAGCGGCGACCCCGACCCCCGATCCCGAGAACGCGGCGGGCAGCAGCGGGGCCCCTGACCGCGGAGGCGGGGCCCGATCCACCCCACGGAGCTTCCCGCCCAGGGGCCCCCGACGCGGATAGGGAGGCCAGCACCGCCGCGGGCGCGAGGGCCCGCCGGGCCCCCCGAGGAGCGCGGGTGAGCCCCGGCCTCGTGCAGAGCCGCCCGCGGACGCAGGGGACAGGCCGCGAGCCTGCACCTGGGCGATGGCGAGGGTCCAAACCGAGGAAGCGCTGCCTGGGAAGACAGCGTCCCGACCACAAACACACCCGCAGGGCACAGCCCAAGCGAGGAGATTCTAACGGTATTTTACCATACCATTCCAAATGCATGGTGGTGGTTAGTGCCATCCAGGGGATTCTGACTCCGGGGGCCGTGTGTGCAGGGCCGATTAATGAATTACTGAGCACCGGGGACGCTCCGTCTCCCTGTCACTTCACATGCTCTCCTGTTTTCTGTTGCTTTTTATTCCTGCTAAAGTCCACTTGACCGTGTGTTAACACACTCAGCACTTCTGAGCACCTTCTCACGTGCTAGCGCTTTCAAATCTATCTTTTTAAAGCACTGTTTGTAAATGTAAAAAATTCCCTATCATAAATAATTTCAAGCTGGCTATATGACAGCCAATAAGGCCACAAACTTTTAAACTGGTATATTTTTTTAAGCTGAAGAAATACTTTTTTTGTAAATAGTAAGTCAAAACCCAATTCAGCGTCAAAACGACCAGTAAGAACTAGAGGCTTCTCACATCACAAGGCATGACAGCCTGCCGTTTCTGTCAGGAGCCAACAGACCTACACACCAATCAGTACCTTTAAACTCCTTCTAAAAATAAAAATCTGAACTAACTGACCCAGCAGCTAACCCTGGTCTGGCTCTGGTGCCCACAAGTCCTGCCTTTACAGCCAGCTTCCACACTGGAGTCCCAGTGCTCTGCCTCATCCAGTAACCTCTCGGCACTGAGATACGTGTATCACAGTCAGGAAGAGCTTCTTGGCCTCACAGCCTTCAGCATCACAGATGACACAGAGAAGTGACAGGTATTACAACAGGGCTTCCATGCTGACAATTGGCAGGGTGCCCAGCCCTGACTCCTCTCCCTGCCCCACCAACATCCCTCCAGAAAGTTCACTATCACTTGTTCAGAAACCGCGTAAGCCAGCCTGCCGCACGGTGACACAGGTGCAGAGGACAGGGAGAAAGCCCTGCCATACAGTAACATCCGTCTCTCGAGCTGGTCCACTCAGTGCCGTGGAGGCTCCCAGCCGCACACGCCGCCCACCAAGACGTGTGCTCCACATTGGGCAACATGACCGTCCCAAAAAGGCAGCCCATTCAGACGTGTACCTCTGATTACCCAAAGAGATGATACTCAAAACTTATTATGAAAAAATTAAGTGTTTATAAGATCCAATAATCACATTCTTGAAACAATTCTTAATCAAACATTTAATAAATCCTTTATTTGTAAATTAATAAATATCCTTGTATGCTAAACCCAAAAATTCAGACAATCAAGACTATACTGGCATAGACATGCTGAATGAAACATCTGCAGATTTGAATGTTCTGTAAATAGCAAAACCACTGCATAACATGTCCTGAATGTAGGTGTCTATCATCTCATTTTTACTAACAACTTTCCTCAGAAAGGATAGATTCCCCTTAGTTCTCACTCAAGTATCATAAACGCCAAATTAACAGCTTCCCTGCACGTGCGGACCACCTGCTCGGGCACTGACCCCCCAGCCATCTGCCTCTCGCTCACACACGCACACATGGGGGTCCTGTGTGTGCGGTCTTGCACTGTTAGTACCCGGCACACGCAGGCGCTGTGCAGCCTCGCCCCTCCGTCTATTCTAAACTTACAGCTCAGGTGATGGTCCTGTCCTCACCTGAGTATGGACAACTGTCACACACAAGAGCAAAACACTGGGACCAGAAGTCAAAGGGGTTATTTTACTATTTTGCTGAAGATTCATATTTAAATATAAATCAAGATGTTAATCTATGAGTTTGAGAGACATTTTAGAAGCCTATGTTGTGACCCTGACATTCTTGAAGGAAAGTAAGGCATGATTTCTGGACAATTTAGAGAGAAGTTATGACATTTCCAGCTAGAGAGAAGTTATGACATTTCCAGCTAGTTTAAAAACAAGCAGTCATTCTGCTTATTAAATGTCTGAATGAGTCTTTGTGAATTCACTGGTTTCTAAAACTGGCCTTACGCAAAGGTTTGAAACCCAGCTAACTCCCAGGACCATGGAACCTGGCCCAAGAAGGTCCTTCGAAATGTCAGAATTGTTCTTCAACACAGGGGACACAACAGATTGCACCACATTCTGAAGAGGGTGGACAGGGGCCTGTTACACAGGTGAGGGCCCGAAGCCAGGCCCACATTGTACCAGGGGCCTCACAAAGGCTGTCTTAGGTAAAGGGGAACTATTCTCCAAGACGTCTCCACGTCATTACCACCTATCCCTTACTGTCCAAGAGGCTGGAGGATGAGAAGTACATTTTTACTTACATAGCACCAAATATAACTACTGATTTCTTTTTTATCAGGCCAGAGCATTTTAAGAGGCTCTGAAAGAGTAAGTACAGTCAGAATGCTTAAGAGTATCTGAAATTTAAAGATCGTATCTTTCACACATTTTTTCTCCTTATATGAAAGGTACTAAATAAGCTACATTTAAATGTCCCACTTATATTTTTTGAAGATCGGCTACTTCTCATTTAAGAGAAAGTGGAAATTATTTAAAACACGAGGGGTGGGGTAAAGGATGAGCTACATATCCAATTCAAATTACATAACAATCCAAATATATAAACAGAAGTGAAATTTCCTAAAAGGAAGTAAATATTGATTTCCCCCCCAAAACAGGTAAATTACACTAGAGAAGAAATCTACATACACCTTTCTCACTTTGATATATGTAAAAAAATAAAAATAAATTTCATGCTAAATTTTTAGGGTTATATAGTTAGAAATACATGACTCTACTTTTATAGACAAGTCAACTAGGGGAAATAAGTTAGCACAATCATTTGAATTGGTTGTCTACATACTGGGCAGGGCTTATTCCTTTTCTTTAGCTTCTTCGCGCATGTAAAGCACGCCATGAGATGCCCTGTTTTGCCATGGACGATGCAACCGTTCTTAGGTCGTCCTTGGCAAATCACGCAGGGTTCAATGGCGTTCAGGGGAAGGCTAGACTCCACGCTTTCTTCTTTGTCGTGTGTTTCTTCCCTCTCAAACTCATTGACACCTTCTTGGTTGCTATAAACGACGCTGTTGGAAGTTGACGGCTGAGAATAGTCCTCACTCTCTTGGGCCTGGGAGGCTTGTGTGACCGTGTCGTCATTGTCCTCAGCATACGGTTCTCTGGAATCATTCCCTGTGGTTTTCTTACAATCGGGGACATCAAAGCCCTCTTCTCCTGGTGTGGAGCTGTCTAGTTTGGTACTCTCGGGCACCTTCCCTTTATCTTCAGGAAGCCAGTTCTCTCGAAGGGCCCAGCATCTGTTGCAATGTGGTGGAAGGGGAGGATTCATTTCATTGCATGCAGTACACTTCCAATAGTCCTTCAAGGAAATAAGACAGAGTGAGTCTCTGTGACCCTCAAAGAACTAGTCACAGCAACGCTGGCAACTTCAATAAGTCTAAGGTACAATGTATCACACAGCTCAATTTTCAGCATTTCATGTTTTATATAAAACCGCCTTTCCTCAAGTATGAGGTTGTAATTTTTTTTCAGCCAAACCATGCTGAAAAATCCTAAAACAAAACATGTACTCACCGTGATCTTAGCCATGTTACCTGTGACGTGATCTGTTGAGGACACAGACAGGGCTGGTTCATTTAGTTGAAGCAAGTGCTGTGGGATGTTCTCCCCTGTAATGAGGCCTGGACCCACTCCACCCTGAAAGGCTCCCCTGGGTACTGCGCAGAGAGTCCACCCAATCTGCCAGCGACTAAGACTCTTTAAGAAGTGCTCTAAACCAGGGCTTACCCAATGCTCCCAAACTTCATCCACAAAGGAAGTGCTAAGACATTCTTCTCAGCCATCACTGCCAGCTAAAATCTGTCATCCCCGTCACTTTCCAAAATGCATGTCCTTCACGGTCTGTCCTTTCTCATGTCCCCATCTCTGTCATTGCTCCCTGCTTCTTCCTTACCCCAGTGCTTACTCCCAAACCTTCCCACCGTGCAATCAGGACAACCCCCCACATCCCCAGCCTCTTTTCTGAACACGTCCTCTTCTGCTTTAACTGAGGCTTCGCTCTTGTCTGAGAACACTGTACATGCAAAACACGCCACAAGAGACCCTTCTCATCTTGCCATGAATACCATCACCCTTTCTACACTGCGTGACAAATGACATAAGACATCAGCAATCAGGGTGGAGACTGTTCACTCTCCTACTTGGTTCTTTCAAGTTCTCAAAGGAGGTTTCTACCAACTGATAAAATCGAAGACAAAGGTCTTGAAATACGGCAGGGAGGGTGCATTAAAGAGTCCAATAAATTGCAAGATCCAAGTCTGAAACATTTCACTCAACCTGACATCAAATGAGTCAACTAGTTACTTGAATTATTTTCTACTACAGCAAAAAAATTTTCAAAAATTTTACATTTTCACCTTTTTTGTATTTGGATAATTAATAATTGTTTCCAACTCGGGAAAGAAAAATGAGATTTCGTATTCAAATGTAATACAAGGCAATATTAAGAACAAAAATTAAAGCAATAATATTCAGTTAAAAAAAACTTCCAAAACCTCAGGAACACAATAAAGCATGAAATATAAATGTTTAATTCCTGATTTATTTAATAGCAAATCCTACCACATTCTCTAATACAAATCAGTGTGACAAATGTTTATATTTGACAAGATTGGCAAAATGCCGGTGAGTGCCAGAGCTGGGTGATGAGACCCTGGAGAAGCATCATTCTACCCTCTCTGCTGTTCATGCAGGACTTTCTCCATGCAAGTTCTTTAAAAGTTCAAATTCCAACACAAAAACAACTGAAACATGTAACAACAGATCCCAACACAACAAATCAAAGAACAAAAATGCTTTAAATCATTGAAACTTTAAAAAGATTTTAACTTTATAAAAATGACCTCATGTCAGAAAGTAGACTACACATATTTTCCCAACCTTGACCTCAACGTTATTTTTTGATTCCTTAAAAAAGTAGATGTATACTTACAGCTAAGGAAATTTCAGGATCTTCTTCAAATGAATCTGTATCGCTCTCCCCTGCCTGATACACGGTAACTCGATACACCTAATAAAATAAACCCGTTAGCATCAATGCATCACCTCTGTTCTTCAACCAGAAAGCTGCCTCGTGGCAAGTCCTAAACCAACCTCGCGTGTACTGTACGTGAGAAATTCTGGGACGAAGGTCCAGTGGGAGGCGTAAGTGCAGAGGACACAGTGACATCCTCACCCACAGGGGACAAGGTGGCAGACAGGATGTGTAGAATGAACGAGGAAAAAGTTCAGTACAAGTATTTGTGTTCTCTAAACATGGAGGCACTGAGTAACAGTGAAGCAGCTAGAAATGTTGAAGGTGCTCCCTTCCGGAAACAGATCTGGAGGTGCTGTGTGACTTTACCCGGGCACATGCTTTACTTTTATAAAAAGTAAATTAATATTAAAAGAGGAGAACTGAATTAAATATTTTAAAAAATGAGTAGACTATTATAAGAATGCTCATTAAGGCCTACTGACTGCTTGGCATTAGTAGTTGTAAGAACATAAATCAGACAACAAGGAACCACAAAAGCCTCACGCCCACAAAACAATATTCTAGTTTGAACAAATCAAGAGTCAAAGATTTCAAGTGAAATCTGAATATATTATCTCAGTCTCATCAGTCAATGAATATGAAAACTATTTAACAACTTCGGAACATGATTAGAGGAAGAACCACCTCATCGTCCTCGTCGGAGAGCTCCTGCCCCTCTTCACTGAGGCTGTAGTCTTCCGAGTCGAGAGACTCCACTTCAAACTCCACACTGAATTGGTCTGAAACCGAATCCTGATCCAACCAATCCCCCGAACGCTCGCTCACACCAGCATCAAGATCCTGAAATCAGGGAACAGTGACAACACACATTACCTGCTGGCCTCTGTAACAGCCCCCAACCCATCCCTGTGCCCCAACTTCCTCCTCAGATCCATCCTCACACTGACTCAGATCAAGATCCAGGGGTACTATACCGTCCCTTCCAAAACCCCACTCCACACAGGAAAGAGTCAGATCCCCCAGCAGTCAAGGCACAGAGCGTGACTGCACAAACATCTTCCTCTCATCTCCCCTCCACTACATGTCAACAGCAGCCAGAGCTACATCGCTTCCTACAGCAGACCTGGCCCCTCGATCTGCACGCTTTCCCACTCTAACGGAACAGCCTGACGGTTTTCAGTCTTGCTCACCCGTTACTGCTGGAGCCTCGGTCAAGACCGTAACTGCAACGGCTCTTCCAGAGTCAATTATCTGTACCACTTACACGGCATTATTGAATACTATACATTTTCACACAAATTACGCAAGACGTAAGTTTGATGCATGTTTCTTATCTGAACTATACCCACCTTTAAGAATTAAGACCATGTCTTAATCATCTTTCTATCTTCAGATTGGTAGAATGCTAGTAGCTACAACCTGCACAATAATTATGAGATTTGTTTTTTAATGAACTTGGAGAACAATTTCTCCGGAAGAGCTTTTAGACTTAACTTTTTCTTGTTTTTTTTTCTTTTTTTTTTTTTTGGTGAGGAAGATCACCCCTGAGCGAACACCTGTTGCCAATGTGCCTCTTTTTGCTTGAGGAATATTGTCCCTGAGCTAACATCTGTGCCAATCTCCCTCTATTTTGTATGTGGCATGCCACCACACCATGGCTTGATGAGTAGTGTGTAGGTCCAGGCCTGGAATCCGAACCCGCGAACCCCAGGCCACCAAAGTGGAGCGTGCAAACTTAACCACTATGCCACCAGGCCAGCCCCTAGACGTAATTTTTTAAAATTTATTTTCAAAGCTCTGTAACTGCTCCTGTGAGTCCTCAATTTAGGACTTGAGTTAACAGTATGAGAACCTAATAATTAGACCTTCGGTCCCAGGACAGTTGCCATCAGTGGCTGGGATGGGAACACGTGACAAAGCAGAAAGCTGGAAGCAGAGAAAGGACACGGGTCTGGGGTCAGGATACACACCTTCTCACTCTAGATTTCCGCTGAGTAGCTGTTAACCCTGGACATCTTTAACCCGTAAAGGCCACAGCTGCCTCCCGTATGAAAAGAGTCTGGATTGAATTATCTCTAATATTTCCATCATTTATTAAAAAAAAAAAAAGTATATTATTTTGTAACCCCTGAGATGAAAAGGCTGTTTTGCAGCGAGGTCAGCGAAGCAGCAGTGGGGGCAGCAGCTGCAGCTCTGACTCCTCACACGGGCTCTGTCAGCAGTCAGGGCACAGTCACAAGTCTAGCTAGAAACATCTCTGATAGCGTAACTGAACACACTGGGTACTTCAATTGACTAGGCTTCAGTGCACTAAGTTTAAAATAAAGAGGTAAATCACAACAGAAGTTAAGTCTCAGAAAGCATCTTCTATGGCAGGGTGGGCGAAGAGCGGCCCACCACCCGTCTATTTCACGAGTACAGGTTTACGGCCACGGCCGCCCCGCTGTGCACCTGCCGTCCAGGCTGCGCTGGCTCAGAAAGCAGAGCTGAGAAGCTGCAGCAGAGACCACGGGCCTGCAAAGCCCAAAACAGTTACCACCCGGCCCTTTCAGAGAGTCTGCCCATCCCTGGGCTAGGCTACTATGAAGAAAGCAATAGTAAAAGTTGTTTTTAAAAAGTTTTGCCTATTGTTCAAAAAAGAATGACTCAGAAACTTTTAAATACTGTATATTTAGTATTTATCAAGCATCAGACAGGCCTTATCTGGAAAGATCTTAAATTTTGAAGTCAGACATTCCTTGTTTTATCTGAATTCCAAGTGTGACAACTATTAGTTATGGGGTCTTAAGTTATTTGAAACTCACAAGTTTTAGTTTTCCCATCTGTAAATGGAGTTTGAGGCTGCTGAGATGATAAAAGTAAGAAATCATGAAAACTGTCCAGTTAGGGCCTAGAAGATAGACTTAGTTCCCCAATTTAATGAACACAAAAGAAAGAAAAGATGGAGGGAAAATGCACTTTCCTTTAGCTCTCTTCACAAATCAGTGAAGGGAGTGACGACCAGAAGATTCTTACATGAGGTAGGCTACAAAAGCTTTCACGACTAGGGACTTAGCCTGAAAAACAACAGATTTTTAATAGATAGGATTTTTAGAAGACAGTGTAGGAGAGGACTAATAAAAAGAAAAAAGAAATACCCTCTACGTTGCTTTGATAACACAGCAGTGGAAAGCAAGACAGGGACTTCAAATATTATTCAGCTAGAATTCTGAAACAACTTGGACAGAGACTGTAAGTTTAATGGGCATAGCAGTTCTATTTAAACCATCTGTAAGGAATAAAAATATCCAAACATGAAGTTTGTATACACATCAAGTTTCCTTTAACTGGATTCAATTTTCAGATCACACATATTGGCTCTCAACAACCTGAATTTTTTTCATAGCATGTATTAAACGTTTTAATGACTTGTTTAATTGTTGATGATCTACCTCCCCATGAGGGCAGGGACCGTATCTACCCTGACGACCACTCCATCTCCAGGGACACGTGGAGCCTGGCTCAGAGAAGACACGGAAGCGTCTCCTGAAGGAAGAACTTGCTCTCAGAGCCCGTCATGCCATCTAGTGGCCAACCCAAGTGCCAGCTCTACCAAACCCTGACCCAGAGGGCACATCTGTCTCCATAAAATCCCTGTTCGGGCAGAGAAGCATGTAACATAAGAGGTAGAGGGAGGCAGGAAAAGTGAGAGCAGGGGCACCGTCCCAGCTGCTTCAGTCCTTTCCACCTCCCAGGGAACTACACAATGATCACTAATATCCCCAGTAATGACCATGAGACACGGCCACATCTCAAATAAAGGTTCCCAATTTAACATTTTAAAGACAAATTTTTAATGACAAGAAACAAAATATTCCATTTGTCAAGCATTCTTGCTAGCAAAAGCTGTTTTACCAAACTTCAGTGATATTTCTTAAGAATTTACTCCTGGCTAATACTCTGGAATTTTGTATCAATAATCAAAAGCTACTGATCCTCTCTCGCCATCCATGCACTAATACACCCATGCTAACTTATTAGCTGATAGCTGTAATAAAAAAGATACTTTTACTCTAAATATTCAAGACAAATTTGCCTTAGAATCCTAAGATACCTAACTAAACCAAATTTTCCCTTTTGTTCCTTTATTTTTTAAAAAGTAAAACTTCTAAATTCTTAGACTACTCTATACTCCAATTTATTTGAATTTACTATTGGTGCAGTGGCCCACAAAGGCTCTCCAACATGGGGGGTGACGTTAATAACTATTAATATTGGTCCTGATTTTGCCAACACACCCCAGTGCAACTCCACTCTCTTCCACCTTACCCTTCTCCCCCAGCCTGGGGTTGGGGTGGGGCAGATCTATACAGTAGATTTATCTGAAAGACAAGTTTACCAGTGTGTATAGCAGCAACTACGAATCACAGATGTGCATTCTATCTGAATGCTTATTAGGACTGCCAGAGCTAGACCTAAAAACCAGAGAGTCTTGTTTCACTTAAAACAAGAGGATTACCGGATCGGATGGGGTCCCTGCCGATTCGCTGCTACTGCTCCTCTCACAGCAGATCTCCCTGATGACACACAGAGCGAGGCTTTCATCAAAGGAAAGAGAGATGCTGTCGGATTTGTGGCGCTTTCTCTGTCGTTCACCAAGTAATTCATCAGCATTTTCTTCTGCATATGTAAGGAAAAACAAGTCAGTTCAATTGCTATACTGTGATTTATTTAGAAATTGAGCTGTCTTGAGTACCTATTTCTACTGAAATTTAGTTTCAATGAAATAAACAGAGAATAGTGAATTACTACTGTTTCAAAAGTCAACGCTATTTCATTGCATCTCTCTGACGGTGAGTTATAGAACACTCTATTTCCAAAGGCTTTTCAAGCTTCTTCCAGAACTTTATCTCCATTAAGTCACAATTAATTTAATTCATCTAGAGCTTTTATTAACTAAATGATCTAGGATTTGCCTGTCAAAATCAAACGTTAGGATATAAGATTTCTTTTTTTTTTCCCTGAGAAGAACTAAAAATGTTTAATTTACTTAGAAGGTATTCTTAATGTTTCAATTTCCTCAGTACCTAGTCTGTATTTTCAACAAGAATCAAAACCAGTGAAAACTGTCCATTTTATTTTAAATAATAAATTATCTCTGACCTAAAGTCAGAATGTTACCAAATCTGTCAGGCACATAAATGCGAGTCCTACCTTATACCAGACATAAAAATAAATTCCAAGTGAATTAAAGAGCCCAACACAAAGAACAAAACCATCCAAGTACTTATAGGAGAATATTCTTATAATACTGGAATGGGGAAGGATGACATAATACTGCAAAGCCCTCAAGAAAGACTATCAAGATTAGACTATGCCAAGTAAAGTTTACACGGCAAAATAAACACCATAAACAAAAGTTAAAAAGGCAAATGTCAGAATAGAAGAGAACACTTGCAACATATATAACAGAAAATGGTTAATACCCATTTTATACAAAGTCCTCCTACCAATCAAGTAAAAGACAAACTTGATTTAACAATGTCAAATATACCAAAAAGCAACTCATAGAATACAAATGACTAAGAAACACGGAAAAATCTCCTACCTCCTAGGGATCAAGGAAATGCAAATTGAAAGGAGATAGCATTTTCCACCCATGAGAATGACAAAAACTAAAACGGAAGACAGACTCAAGAGATTTGAGAGAGAGGACATTTTCACACACTGTTGGTAGAAATGTACAATAGTGGACATTTTGTGGGCAATTTCCTTATCCTCGACAAACGCCTAAATAATTACTAGGGGCTGTTCCTGGCAACCCTACATGTGAGGATCTAACAGGGTACTGGGATTAAACGAAACATAATCCAGAGACTGAAACAGAACCACCCTCCCCCCTCTGCTCCCTCCCCACCCTCTCCTGGTCAGAGGTCCCCTCTCCTTCCTCTGAATTCCCAAACACTGGTGTATCCTACACTCTGCATAACTTTATGTCACTCTCCACAGCTAGACCCTGACGGAAGTCCCTCAGCACGTCTGTGTTCCCTGTGGGAAAAGGGGGTCTGGGCTGACTGATGTCAGACAGAAACCTAAACCATGCTACTGACCCATGTGTTTCACCTCCATTAAAAATAACATTTGAGGGGCTGGCCCAGTGGCACAAGTGGTTAAGTGCGCACACTCCGCTGCGGCGGCCCGGGGTTCGCCGGTTCAGATCCCAGGTGCGCACCAACACACCACTTGTCAGGCCATGCTGTGGTGGCATCCCATACAAGGTAGAGGAAGATGGGCATGGATGTTAGCCCAGGGCCAGTCTTCCTCAGCAAAAAGAGGAGGATTGGCAGATGTTAGCTCAGGGCCAATCTTCCTCACACACAAAAAAATAATAACATTTGAGGGCTTTTCCTGATTATTAAGAAACTATATTACTCACTGTAGAAATGTGAAAAAAATATAATTAAAAAACCCCAAAAGGTAAACATTTGTAACGCTACCACCGAGAGAGGACTACCATAAACATTTTAGTGTAATAATCTTCCAGTGTTTTTTAACTTATTTCCTTTTTTTAAAAACATATTTGAATCACACACTATATACATATACAGTTTTTGGACTGTCTTCTCTTATTCTTCTACACTATTTTTAATGGCTGCGGAATATGGTGTCCACGACGCAGGTCCCTGTGTTGTTGATCCTAACTGAACCGCCTAGTCCACACATCTGAGCACCTGCTTCCTGCTGGCACGGCACCAGGCCACGGGGCTGCAGAAGTGAAGTCAGCGCCATCCCGCCACCAGAGGAAGCTTACAGTCAACCGTCAAGGCAACCGAAGCACAGTTATTCACAAGCTATGAGGACTAGGAAGGAAACAGCAGGGTGCTAAGGAAAAGAATAATAAGAAGGGATTGCTTTTCTGGGTGGTCAGAAACAGCTTCTCCAAAAAGGTCATATTTAAGCAAAAACAGAAAAATGAGGAGCTGGTCTTGCAAGGTTGAGGTAGAAGAGCTCCTAGCATGGGCCGGCCCCGTGGCTTAGCGGTTAAGTGCGCGCTCCGCTACTGGCTGCCCGGTGTTCGGATCCCGGGCGCCCACAGACGCACCGCTTCTCCGGCCATGCTGAGGCCGTATCCCACATACAGCAACTAGAAGGATGTGCAGATATGACATACAACTATCTACTGGGGCTTTGGGGGAAAAAGGAGGAGGATTGGCAATAGATGTTAGCTCAGAGCCGGTCTTCCTCAGCAAAAAGAGGAGGATTAGCATGGATGTTAGCTCAGGGCTGATCTTCCTCACAAAAAAAAAACAAAAAAAAAAGAGCTCCTAGCAGAAAAAAACTATGTGCAAACAGCCTGAAAGCAGGAAGACTTGTTTGAGGAACCAAACAATCAGTGTGGCTGAGACACAGTAAAGATGGAAAAAACGCCCAAACCAGGCCGAAGGTAGATCAGGGCCTCGCAGGCCCAGGTGAAAAGGGTGGGTTTTAACGACAGTCAGTAGTAAGTGACCACAGCAGCCACGGGGAGAAGGGACACAGTCCCCTTTACCCTTCACTGTCTCTTCGGGGACTGTGTGAAGGAAGAGAGGAGCAGATGTGGCTGCAGTGGTCCAGCCTGGACCAGGGGAGATGACATCCTCATCAGCACAGGTGTTGTCAATGATCAACAATGCCATAATTAACATCACCACACAGAATCTCTGCATTTCTGATTATATCTCTAGGACAGATTCTGAGAGTGGAGGTACTAGGATAATGGTAAGAACGCCAAGCCTTTTTAAAATCCAAAAGGTTTAACCAATTTATACCAAGTGATACACTAGCAGTGTGTCAGTGCCACACACAAGTCAGCAAGGATAAGTATACAAATTTATCCTTGCTAATTTGATAGACCAGAAAAGACACTTTTCTGCATTTTTTTATTATCTGTAAAGCTAAAAAATCCACCCTCCTATTTATTACTCATTTGTATTTACTATGAAATATGTCTGGGTTTGTTTTTTTACCTTTTCAAATTTTTAATATTTTTCTTAGTGATTTTTGGGAACTTTTTAAGTAATAAATATATTAACACTGTCAAATTTAAAGTGAATACCTTTCAAATTTGTTGTAATTTTTTTCATTTATCTTTTAAACTCATTTGGAATTCATTTTGGCATAAGGTACAGATATAACTTGATTTTTTCCCCCAAATAATCATTTGTTCTAGTGCCACGTATTTACTACGACACGCTCTGCTCTCACAGCCCTCCAGCCTCATGTGTGGACTCCAGCTGGGGTTTATCGATTCTGTTGCACAGATCTGCTGCATTCCTCCTTCACTCGAATCACACCGTCTTGGTTATTACGACTTTTGATCAGGCAACAGCCTCCTCCACTGTCTCTTCTCTGCAAAAATGCTCTCAGCTAGTTTCTTTACCTTGTCTTCATTTCTAAGACACTATCTACTTTCTCTGGTTCTAAACTCATTGGTATGTTTTATCACTTATTAGAAACAACAAGGAACTATTTTAATTGCTAAGGTGACTAAGAACAATGACTAGAACAGAGTTTATATCTTTGTCCTCTATCATCTCGAATAACAGAGAGCTGGCCAACTACAAACTCCAGGGGCACAGTAACCCGTGCCCGCTGTAGTCATCCAGAAAATGCTGCTAAGAAAGCAGTTTTTAAACCAAATAAACCACATAAAAATAAGAGTGAAACTCAGAAATTGATTCATCTAAACCCAAAAAAGCATAACAATTTCATTAAGCCAAAATGCACTAATTTCAAGAGAGAATGAACACTGAAAGTGCCAATATTCGTATATACCTGTCTCACTAACTGCTCTCCTTCTAGATGAGGTAGATGGTCGAGAAACCAAACCTGAAGATGAAGGTTTCTCTTCCTGTAGCTCCTGTACAGGCTCCTAAGCATTCAAGGGGAAAAAAAACACAACTTAACTTCTAACACCAGGAAGCTGAAAATTCTTTGTTTTAAATAACCTTTCCAATTTTCAAGAAACATCATAGCTGAATGAGTTCAAGATTACCTTTTGATCACTCCCATCTTCAAGGGGACACCTGTTTTCACTCACAGATGTGCCTGAATCTGACGGTTCTGATAGAAAACAAAAACAAAGAATCACGAACTGAGAAAGAAAGGGCTGCTCAGCAGACATCGGCCCAGGACAAAGTCCTTACACAACCTGACCTCTCCAGACAGCAAACGTGTCTCTCCCTGGTGCCATCCCTGCCAGATCCTGGAGACCCCAACAAAACAGTTCAATGTTCACAGAGAAGACACACAAGAGTCATTATAAAGTGTGATAAACACAATGGAAGAAATATCATAAGATAACTTAGTGAACACAGAGCAATGATTATTGGGCAGGGACAGGTCTGAGGAACGAGGAGTTGGGCAGGTTTCATGGTAGAAGATGCAGCAGGAGGACCAGGAAAGGCCATTCCAGACTGAGGGGATGCCGTGTCAAAATGGCACCCAGACGTGACCCACAGGTAGTTCGTTGTTACTGGAACGTAAGCAGGACCATTGAGGATCCCATGTGTCTTGCTAAACATCACAAAGATGTCAAGAGGAAGCACTCAAGCCATCAATCCCGCATCACTGCATTCTTCCCAGCTGAACGATACTTCAGAATCTTCCCCAAGGCATCGTCGCAGCTGCTCACCATTAAACAGGTTTAATCCAAGAGAGAAAACGGACTTGCCGATTCACAGCAAGTACTTCCTCCAGGGAGCAATAAGGAACCGCTAACTGGTCATTTTAAGCAGAAGAGTGACAATCACTCTGGCAAAACAGGAAAGAGAGCAGGGCCAGGGAAACCCGTATCCGACAGTGACTGCAGTGAGACAAACAGGAACGAAGCCTAACGCAGGCGTGGAGAGCAGATCAAGTCCAGAGAGCTGACATGGTGAAACCCACAAGACCCGGTGTCTGAGATGCATGGCGAGGGAGAAGGCAGTCAAGAAGGACTCCAAGACTCTCCCTGGGGAGGACAGACGGGTGGCAGCATCCATCAAGAGAGAAACTCCAGAAGGTCAAGAGATGCAGGTGGGAAGAGAACGACCAGAGTGGATGAAACTCATTCAGGTAGGCAGCTGTAGTTGGTAGCTGGATGTAGATACCTGAAGCTCCAAAATCAAGGCTTGAGATACGGGGTGTATACGATCACCAAAGACCCTAGTCAAATATCCTCTGCTACTCCCTTGGAAACATCTTCATCTCAATAGTGAAGTCAGGCTTGGGTATTAACATTTTGCAATTATATACATTATCATCACAGTTTATTTCTTCTTTATATTATGGGTGAGGTATTACACTGACTTTCAGTTGCACATCTAGGTAGGTTATATTTTGCTTTAGTATTAGAAAGGAGACATGATAGAAAGGAAGCACAAGGTACGACAGGCTGAGAACACGGACACATGAATTCTCAAGTTCATCTACTTACCTGAAACCTGAAACAAACTCAGAAGGGAGACAACGTAAGTAATCTAGAGGTTACCATCCCATTAATATCATTTTCCTAGTAATCTACCAAAATTTAAATGAATGAATGAATGAATATCAGGGAAAATACTTCAGAAAACTGAAAATACTACCACAGATACTATTTTACTTACCTTCATTTGGTTTCATAAAGAGCTTTGTCAAACAATAAAATGTCAAGTCACCAGCCTAGTAATTACTTCTATTCTGGGATAAGGTAGTGATGCTGTTTTCTGGGTCTTAAACCCTAACTTTGGAAGAATAAGTGTTCAGTTCAACACATTTACTAAACACCATATTAACAGAACACTGTCCTGTGTGATGCACGATTAGAAATGTAAACGAGCAACATGACAACGAAATCTAAGGAAGGAATAGCGGGAGCATTCTGGGAAGTAAACGAGCTTCTGAGAACAGTTCTCATTGTGGTTCAGAAGCCTGTGGTGTGTTGGAGCCGGCTCCCACTGGCACCCGCAGGCAGCCTGTGCACAGCTCTTCCCAACTCCACGTGTACAGCCTGAAAATGGCCACGGCGGGAGTATTTGCACCACGGAAATCAGCAACCACCACACGTCAGGGCTTCACCCCGGAGAGTGGCTTGTTAACATTTACCAGCACACCACTGTATTTACTTACGTGTATCTTTCCGGAATGAGAATCCATTGCTTTCATCAGACTATCAAAGGGATATATGACCCAAAAATAACCAGTTAAGAACCACAGGTCTAAAGATAGGGAAGTAAAATGCCACTCTCCTAACCAAATTGGTAACCAAGTTTTGTGCATTATAAAAAACAAACAAACAGAAAGGACCCATCCTTTCACATGGTCCTACCTAGTATCCATATTACTTCCCAGAGCCTTTCAATACATGTTTCAAGGTTTGATCACATCTTTTTTTTTTTAATGTATTTACATTGCATTTTATTTTTGGAAGAAGATTGGCCCTGTGCTAACATCTATTGCCAATCTTCCTTTTTTTCCTTTTTCTCCCCAAAGCCCCAGTACATAGTTGTGCATCATAATTGTAGAGTTCTAGCTCTTCTTTGTAGGACGCCGCCTCAGCATGGCTTGATGAGCAGTGAGTAGGTCTGCGCCCAGGAGCCGAACCGGTGCGAACTTCAACACCACGCCACCGGGCCGGCCCCTGATCACATCTTGACTTTGAAGCTTTTGAAATTATCTACCTTTCAAAACAAATTTCAACTCTGATATCCCAAGACTTAAACTGATGTAACAGGATATTTAACTTTACATACTGCAAACCTGCATTAGAACCTTAATATTACATTGTTTTAGTTCGTTCATAGTTCTTCCTGTTAAATTTATCATACTTTAATTAAATACATAATCAAAGCAACTTTTAAAGAGAATCACAATTATAAAAGACAATCACAGTTTATATAAAAATATAAAATCACATCTTTAAAATATGTTTATATGTTTATGGTATTCAAAATTAACTTACCCTGCTGATTCACTACCACCAAGTTTCTGTAGATCATTGTATATATTTTCCTTTAGGGAGGAAAAGAAAACAAGAGATGTACATTTTAAAATAAAAATGTATTAAACTGAACTTAACCCGATTTTTAAATGCCTATTAGTACGAACTATTGCACACAAACCAAATTTTAAATCACTGTATTAAAATTGTATCACTGGCAAGCTTCAAGGCCCTAGAAAGCACCAGTTAGTTGCACGATGATTACATACAGCTGTTATGTATCACTAAGTCTCTCCAGTTGAAAGATTTCACATCTCCATTTCTCAAAATGTGCCTTGTTTGGACTTGACCAAAAGACCCCAGAAAATGCTTGTGAACACAGGAGGCAGGTTAATATACTTATTTTCAAACAGAAAAGAAATTTTCTAGCTCTGTGCTTAGAAGGAGACTGCCTAAAAAAGTAGTGGGTTATGCAAGACCCACTATTAGGAACTTGACTATAATTCTGACTTGCACTAACCCTGGACCAATCATGGAATGGATTTTCTTTCTTGACCTTAAAATTTATTAACAGATAAAGCAGTATCCGTTCATTTAATAAACACAGACGGAGAACTTACTATGGACCAGTCACTGTTCTAGAAACTGAGGAAAACAGAACGAGACAGAAACCCCCACCCTCACGGGGCTGCAGCCTCACAGGAGACAGCTCTCACTCTGGTGCTGCTGACGCCAGAGCACATTCTTCTTTCTTTCTTTCTTTTTCAAACTAACGATTTTAGAGAACGTTTACTGGTCACAAGATCTCTAATTGTCAAGGTTAAGGGGAAAGCGCCAAGCCCCGCTATTTCTTCTCGCCCTCAGGACTGAAGATGCAGCTCCTTGAACGTACACAGAGCAACGCTCCTCTTCAGATCCTCTGTCCATGCCAGTGACTCTGCAGCGTCCCACCTCTCAACACGTCAGAACTCAAGTCAAAGGTAATTTTAATAGTAGGCTTTCGGGGCCGGCCCTGTGGCGCAGTGGTTAACTGCGCGCACTCCACTGCTGGTGGCCCGGGTTCGGATCCCGGGCGCGCACCGACACACCGCTTGTCAGGCCATGCTGTGGCGGCATCCCATATAAAGTGGAGGAAGATGGGCACAGATGTTAGCCCAGGGCCTAACATCTTCCTCAGCAAAAAGAGGAGGATTGGCATGGATGTTAGCTCAGGGCTGATCTTCCTCACAAAAAATAAAAATAAAAAAAAAATAATACTAGTTTTTCAATATCAGAAACTACACCTCCAAACATATCAGAAGGTTCAATACTCAAATGGTGTAAAATCACTGATATAGTTATTCCTTAAATTTATAAAGTTAAAGCTTATATCCTAAGGCCAGTGCAAAATGCTAACTAAATATTAAACAGAAGTGGTTTATAAATGGAAAGATGCTTATATAATGTTAAATTAAGAAACAAGACAGGACGAAATTAAATCTAGTGCATTAACAACTATGTTAAAACACATCTGCACATAATATAAAAATGACAGGTAAAAATACCTTTCAGTGACAAACTAGGGTCATTTTTTTTCCTGTTCTTCTTAGCTTTCAGTCTTTTCCTAATGCTCAATAATGAACATATATTATGCTTATATATTCTTATATATGCATATATATATATGCTTATATAATTAAGTTGTTTTAAAGTTATAAATATCCCATTTAATTACCATCTTTTTTAGCTATAACATTACTGAGCATTAAATACTAGTAGAATCTAGTTAATTGTTTGAGGTGAAAAGTATTCCTCCCATTTATTAAGATACCTGTTAAGGTTCCATACAGACTGACTGTGCTAAACTGAATGGGACAAGGAATCCCAAATATAAGGTAAGAATGAGGGAAAAAACAGTCTTCAGTTCCCAGCAGAAAAGTTCAGCTGAGTGCCATAATGGTATATGACAAAGAAAACCATCTCCAAAGTCACTGAGGCGCAAACTGAAGCCTCTCCCACAGGGTGGTAAAAAGACTGTCTTTGGAAGTGACTGCAATAATAATATTTTTAATACGCAGTAACTAATATGTGAATGCTTTCTAGGTGCCAGACATTATGCTTTCTACACAACACCTCTTCATGACCTCCACACGAGGTATTTCTATTACCCCTACTTTACAAACGGGGGGACTGAGGTGTAGACAGGGTGAATCAGTTCACCTCATCACACAGCTAGTGACTAACTGAGCTAGGTCTCAAACCCAGAGACCGGTTCACAAGACTCCAGAACCCAGATTCTCAAGCAATAATGCTATACTGCTAAGAAATTAAATTTCAGCATCTTTTATGTATATAGTAACAATTTTTCTCTGACAAAAGGGAGTGAGGGTGGAGGTGACCTGAACTGTCTGCCTGGCTGGCTTTTCACAACGGACTGAACTGGAGAATGTACCTGTGTTCTTTCACAGAGAAGCTTGGCACCCCAAACAAATCCCCCAGGAGATCATTGGAACAATACACCATGTGCTGCTGCTTCTCATCATAGAGCCGTTTCATCATGATATACTGGCCAAGGTAGAAGATAACCTGAGACAGAAACATGATTTCTGAGCATTAAAGAAAACTAAATGTTAGTTTCAAATACATTCAATAATATCTCATTTATCTGAAGAGGGTTAAACCGGCAACCGTCCACAACCACCCAGAATAATCACCATTCTACGTGCCAGAAAAGCTGCTCTTAAGTCCTTAAGTCTTTTCCTTTCAGTTTGATGGAAGTAGAGACACTGCTTCTCAGAATTACTTAAATAAACCTTAAAATGCATCTCTTTTTTTGGCAGACTTTAACTCTGCCCAGATACTCTCTAGGTGCAACACGTCAGAAAGAAGGGAGAAAGCAGCAAAATGCAAAACCATTGATAGCGATAAAAAGTTACAGAATCAAAAACACCAACTAGAAGAGAGCAGTGACCAGAGTCGTTTAGTAAAGTCCTGGACACCATACAGCCTTTGAGGTCATCACAGACGAGGAAGACAGGAAAACGACCAATTACATTTACCTAACATTTTGGGAGAATTCAGTAAATGAAATAAGCCCTCAAAGATATCAATACAATCATACAACAATGAACAATCAAAATAATGACCCTGAATCATGCATATACAGTTAAACTATACTCTGTGCGCCCCATGGAGACAAAGATGTAAGCAAGACATCCACATATACACCCATTAACCACCACCTAAATATGTATGGGACACTTTCACCAGTACTGTCTCATTCTTCTGATGTTTCATTGAATTGTTATCACCGCCTTAGGAATAAGGGAACTGACCCAGTCTTCTCCAAAGTTCTATCTACTACCTCATACGAGCTTTCATCAGTCTCCCAATGCCTCAGAACAGAGATCCCACAACTGAAAACTGCATCAGACAGTACCTACGTTACTGCTACCTGGGTCAGCGTTAAGCATCCTAAGTCTGTAGGACGGCCTTGATCAGTTTTCTCCTTATTTCTAGCTGCTACTAAATCCAAACTTGCTTGTTTCCTTAATTGCATATATAATGATAGTAAGGTCAAACCCAGGTTAACATGATTTACCTTGACACTTCACTGCAAGCACTGTCTGTAGACCTCACTGGCTAAGCATGCTTCAGACTTAAGGGAATATTCCTCCATGACTATGGAATGGAGATGGCTGGCAGACAGAGGAAGGAAGAGGATCTACACTCCTACCAAACACCCCATAGGGAAGTTTATAAAAATGTGCCTGAAAAGGAAAAGGGTCTGGAATCTCTTTCTGCCCACTATCCTGATGTAGGGAAGGTGCTTTAGCATTTTAAGCAATCTGAGCCCCATCAACTACGTAAGAGAGATCAGGAAGAGGCGCATTTCAATCACACTGAAATGTCGGCTACGATGGCCCAATCCCTCACTGAAAACCGTGCTTCCATGCACAAATTTAAAGCCAGAGAAATGTACCCATTAAATAGAATGTACATTCATGAATCAGCTCACCTCTATCCCAGAAAGATCAGTGTACTGAACCCATGCACCTCTAGTGCACAAGTTCTTAACCTGGGAGCGTGTATGCCCAGAAGTCCTTGAATAGAATTCAGGGGGTCCATTAATTTGGATGGAAAAAAACTTCTATCTTTATTTTCACTGACTAACTGAAATTTAGCTTTTCCTTCAATTGTGAATATAGGCAACAAACCACAAAGTATTAGCAATATCTGTGATTTTGTCACCAATAAAAACCACCAGTGTTCTCATATCAAACTATGCTTGGAGTTAACATCTCAAAATATCAATTATACTCCCCACTACTTCAAAATCATACTGATTACATCAACTGCTAAATCTTATTATTTAATGTGTTAATAAAAAAGCACATATTACAAGCTTGTTTACTATTTTGATAACTATTTTAATATAATTTGTTTCCTTTGTAATGCTATATATTTCATTTCATGAATTTAAAAACATGATTCTGAGAAGGAATTACCACTCTGCCAAGGAGGTCCACAGCACAAAAAGGTTAAGAACCCCCAGAGATCTTCCCTTTGTCTCTCAGTTCCTAGCTAAGAAGTGACATTCAAGTATAATTAGAATTTTCAGCTTCAAATTATAGTCCAATGACCACAGTACTTAATATTGTCGCTTACTGACAATTCTTTGTACAGCCAATTTCTCCCCATGGCTATAAATAACTAGTAAGACATTACTTATATCATTCACTCTTAGTTCAGCTTACCTCTTTCATAGTATAAGTGTCTTTTTGTGCACCAACAGACTTCAACAACTTCAAAAGCAATGGCTTTGGTCTAACCTACAAAGAACAAAGAGTTGCTATTATACTTCCAAAATTATTCCAGAACCATAAGCCCCGTAACAAACACGTTCATAAAGAACTTCAAAAAAGGTAGCAGGCACTATGTTTAACAATCTCAAAAAATAAGTCATCATGTTTTCCCTAAATGTAATAGACTATATAAACTGAACACCAAGGACTGTCAAGGGGGTTTGGGAAAAAATGGTAGGATCTAGGGACCGGCCCGGTGGCACAGCAGTTGGATGTGCACGCTCTGCTGCAGCGGCCCGGGGTTCGCCGGTGCGGATCCCCGGTGCGCACCGATGCACCGCTTGTTGAGCCATGCTGTGGCGGCGTCCCATATAAAGTGGAGGAAGATGGGCACGGATGTTGGCCCAGGGCCAGTCTTCCTCGGCAAGGAAGAGGAGGATTGGCATTGGATGTTGGCTCAGGGCTGGTCCTCCTCTCTCCCTCTCCCTCTCC